GTCTGACTGGCTGGCAGGGCAGCCTACCTACTCTATGTAGGTAAAACTGCTTGATTTTGCAAGAGGTTGCTTCAACTATCCCGACCTCTGGGATGCTGTGAGGCCCTGCAGAGGGCAGTTAGAGCTGCCGGCCAGCAGGGGCAGCGTTTCGGGTGGACTGCACCCTTGGGTTGCTGGAATGCCTCATCTTTTGAAAAATCCAAATAAGAACCCAGGGATTTCAAAGGCCACTAGGTGTCAGTGTTCATACTCAGACATAAAGCGCTGTTACCTTGCACCCACTGGGCTCTGTCCAAAACATGCAATTAGGCAAAGTGACATCTCAGAATTACCCGTAGTGTGTAAGTGCATGTCCTGCGAGAGACTGGAGGTCCTCCGTCCTCCTGGGACAGGCCTGTCATGCCCCTGTGCTGGACAGGCAGCTAAGTGAGATGAATGCACGCACAGAAGGGTAAATGGTGTCTGACTGCCGTCGTTCACTGCTATCCAAAAGCCTAAAAGACAATTTCCCCATGTGGAAGAATAAAGTATCTCTATTCAATTTAAAAACAAGCCATACCAGTACAAGTTGTTACACACGACATTTATACAGAAAAATCTGTGGTGGGACTTGATTGAGAAGCAAGTCTTGCACTTACCTGGTTGCCATCATAAGAAAGTATATATGACAGCTTTAGTTGACGATGTGGAAATCCAAGCACATTCCTGATTAACCTCAGTCCTGCAATAATGCAAAGAATGTCTTACCTTTCAGAGTAAGATCTCACTGTTTTGGCTGGAGCTGCACTTGGCTTAGCTGTGGGCTGAGAGTTCATGGTCCCACCTTGTAGGTGCTACCTGACTCTACAGCCCCCAATGGCCACGCCCCCTCAGAATAAGCAAATCAGACAATGTGTTACTTTGGATAAAAGGGTAAGTTAAGAAAGAAATATTACAAATGACACTTTATAACAAATTATTTAAAATAATAATACTTTTTGCTCAGTGATTACAGTCAGATGCTCAAGGAATATAAATGATGATTGTAAGGTTCGTCTGTGATAGGACAGAGATTTCACATGGCGAGGACACATGGCGAGGTCACGCAACCTTTCATCTTGTTACACCTTTATGTAAACTGGATCAAATGCAAACATAATACTGGTTACATCGTGGCATATGGTACTAAGGTGAAGTGTCAGCCAGTTAGAAGGAATGGACTTTGCTTTCCTAATTTAAAAAAAGCACCAGAACAAATTCAATGTTCCAACTACAAAAGATACAGGTCATGTTTCAGACTGACTGACAGGGTGTTCAACCTAAGATTATGGCCGTTCGCTTAATATAGGTAAAAGAGTGGGTTGGACAGAGACTTTAAGAGAAAAAAAAACTTTAAAAGAACACTGTATTACACATGGCATTTATAATTCAGTGAGTTTTTGGAAGTAACCACAATTATAAAATTGTGTTCTTTAAATGATAAAAACATATTATTTATATCTGACTGGTGAGCCCGACTATGAACTAGAAAGATGGAATTATATCAAAAGGTATCTAAACAACATATCTGTATAATTTTTAACTATATAATGTATAAGAAAACTGTATCTTACCTTTTCCTGAGAATGTGTTTATTTTCATTATCTGATTTGCCAACTAACCCAACCTAACAAGAAGGAAAGAGCGAGAAAAGCTACGGAGTGAAAAGGGATATTTGGCAAACTGGACCTGGCAGGAGATCCAGACTATTTCATCAACTAGCTGAACGCTCCCCTTTGCCAAACTGGCACAGAGGACGGCACACTTCCACCAGTTGGACAGCTATCGAACTCTTTCTGCAAAGCAGTCTAAAGATGCAGCCATTGCACAAAAAAGGAGACGATGAAGCATCATGCTGTGTCTGTTCAACCAGCCCTCTGGTCTCCAAAAGGCTAATGAGCAAGTGAACCTCCATGTAAGGACATGATTAGTATTACAGATGCATGAAGGCAATCAGGTCCACCCTGTTTGTTTAGATGACTTCCCATTGGTAACTGATGAACATTCATCCCATGGTTACTTTGGAAACAGGCACTCTGGCCAATAGAAGGCCTTGGATGTTATGGGATGCATTCTGTGAGTAATAGGGAGTGGTTAATGTGATTTAGTAAAACTCTTATCAAGCAGCTGGATGGTAGAGAAACACAGCAGCTGGACAAGATCAGTATATATTTTGAAATGGTAAAATTTTAAGTGCAAAGACAGACAGGGAAAAAAGCCGAACCTTAAAGATGTCTGGAGGTTTGATTATTACATTAGACTAAAGCAGTCAGTGATGACTGCATGTATTAAACATATACAGTATGTGGTTATTACTCACAGCCTTCACGTCCAGCATAATAATGTACCTGGGGCACATTTGTAGTATTTTATCATCTTTATGTGTCTAATTAAATGAAAATTTATTTTCCAGCATGTTCTCCCATAAGGGTCACTGGGTTCGCGCTTGAGTAAACAGTGACCGCGTCAGGCCTTTCTCCCAAGAGAAGGTGATGCGTCCTCAGTGGGCAGAGACATTATAGCATGACAGTGAGGTCAGCCCACGCTCCTGATGACGTACAGCAGAGTGACAGCATGGCTCGCACGCCCATCCCAGCCCTGAGCTCCATCTCACCCATGACAACAATGGAAAAACAATACAGCAGAATTCATGCTGCCAGGGGAACATATACAGAATATACAGATACAGAAACTCTACCGGACACAGGATCCAAGCCGGCAGCCTTCCGAACACAGGCACAAACCCTGAAAGCCCCGAGTTACTCATAGCAGAAAAGAATGATCTATAAAGAGCTGCTTGATTTGCAGGCAGAGCGCGTGGCTATGGACTGAGCACAAACAGGGCTGACACGAAAAGCCACCTTTCCTGTATCTGGAAAAGTTCAGCAAATGTATTACGGAAGCACTTCTAAGAATAAACTCACATAATCGCTAAATTATGTGCCTCTAAATGATTTCAGCAAATCTTCCTCCATATAAATGAAACTACTGTAGCGCCATCCTACCGGCGCTAAAATACATGGCAAACTCCGGTGGAAAAAAAATCTGATACTATTTAGTCATAATCAATCCACCCACAAGCACACAGGTGACTAGGGCTGCATGATACTGCGTAAAATATAAATATTTTCACTCAGAACTGAGATGCTGATTTTCTCTCACGATTCCTGGACAATAAATTAATCTCTTTATTACTACATACTGTCTTTATGAATATGGACCGAACAATATGTAGAGATGCACAATATATCTGTTATACCAATTACAGCTATATTACAGCCAATATTTAAACTTTATCAATATTCAAAGGTAACAGCACCAGATATAAAGACACAACTACTGAAATAATGGAGACGATTTCTGGGTTGGTGAGTGGCTCCAAGGGTCGGTGAGTGACTGCGGGGGTCGGTGAATGGCTGTGGGGGTCGGTGAGTGGCTGTGGGGGTCGGTGAGTGACTGCGGGGGTCGGTGAGTGGCTGCGGGGGTCGGTGAGTGGCTGTGGGGGTCGGTGAGTGACTGCGGGGGTCGGTGAGTGGC